TAGCTAAATTATACTATTTATAACCTAGATCTTATTTATCTAGACTTAAAATAGCCTCCTTTACCCCCTTTTATTATTATTATTATTCTTACTCCGTTATCTTATCTACTCTATAGGAGCCTACTTTAGACTATATAGTCTTTCTCGGGTAGCTATAAAGGGGAGAACCCGGAATCCCGGGGAAAACCTCTATACTCGTCTTTAGTTAGAGTAATACCGCTACGGGGCCGATATAGACCCGGTTCGCCCCGTCTATATATCTGGATCATACCTCTAGGCTAATAGCTAACGGGAAGGGGAGTAGGCTATAGTTCAGGTTAGCCTAGGCTAGTTATTAGTAAGGGGGCGGGAGCCGAAAGGGTGCCGCGGTATACTAACTCCGGCCTCTCTATATCCCTGGGGGCTATATCTATTATTCCTTCTATTTAATTAATAAAGAAAAGGCGAGGTAGGCGCTCCTGCCTCCCTTAGGGGGGGGGGGGGGGTCTTTCTATATCTGGCGGTAGGTAAGAAGGGTAGGGCTCCACCTATACCCGAAAAATAGTAGATAGATAATAAAAATTAAGGTCCTTTGCCTTTTCCTTTTTTCCTTTTAATAATGCTATAGAGTATATTATAGGTATTCTTTGTTATGTTCCCGCTTACGGCCTCGAAGGCCTTCCATCGCGGCGTCATGCTGACTAGTAGTCTCTTCTAGTTCTCTGCCCTTACTTTATAATTTTCCCTATTTAAATCTATTACGTAGTGGTTCGTAGGTGGCGTTGCGGTGGCGTGGGGTTAACTCCTTTACCCTCTTATAGCCGGGTATTATGGACTATAACCTTCACGGTAACGCCGTCGAGGAAAGGGATCTAGGAGGAACTAGCCCCGGCGAGGATAGAAGTATTTTGAGCTCAAAATATGCAGTTATATAAAGGGGGGGGGGTCCTTAGCTTATACGTCTATAAACAGCCGTGAATCTTTAGCCCTCTTTTATTTAATCTAACTAATCAGGTCCTCTAATTTCTCCTTCATTAATTAATAAAGATCGTCCTTAAGGATATCAATATCGCTATTGAAGAAGGCGCGCTCGTTAAAATCCTTGTCGCGCGTCCAAATAACGCGGTTATAGCGGCGTAGGCCAGGCACCTAAATACGGAAGGTATTAGTGGAATTATAGCCAATAAGGTAGCTGATATAGGTATAACCAGCGATACGATTTAATAGCTTATTAGTGCCCTTTTAGGCGTCCTTAGTTATTATATACGCCTTATAGCCGTAAGCTCAAGAATATAATAAAATTGGCTTTCTTTTAAAGAGGACCTCGTATAGTATTTTCTAATCCTTATTATTATACTGCCTTTATGGTATTCGGTTATAGACGTACCCGGCTATATAAACGGCGCTAGTTTTACATGGATATTTATCGTATAACCTGTTCAAATCACCACGGCAGTAGCACGTTCGGCACCCTTATTCGGCGCTTCAGTATCGGTAGCAGATACCTTTAAAAGGATACCCTCTTAGCATAGGAATTAGGTAATATCGTGGGATTAAGTTAGCTCGTTATTAGCTTTAAAAAGGCGTACCTTATAGCCTAATTAACGGTTTACCTAGACGAGGAATACCTTAATTATGACGAGGATCTCCGTAGTAAGTTTGCTTTTTATAACGTAGGTAGCCGTAAAGCCATTATAATAGTGCGTGAAAAATATAAACCGCGAATCCTTATCGGATATTCGATTAAAATCTATAAAGTCGATCGCCTATTATTCCCCTACGTAGGTTAGTACTATATAAGCGTACCCGCTAATATACGATTTTATCTTTATAAGCTTATAGGCTTTATAGTCGATAGTTATTAGTCCCTTTATCTTAACCCTCTACGTCTACTCTTGTAGGTGCCTAAGCGGCTTAGGGCTAGCGTGCCCTAGCCGTAGATACTATAAGATACCCTCCGTAGTGCTTAGATATCGTATGGTCGATTTTCGGGTGGAAGACGAGCCTAGAAAAGTAGCCGTAGATTAGTTAGAATCGTAGGGCATATACTTAATAACGGTCTAATCGAAGTAATAACTTAGCCAGTATAGTATAGATCCGTCGGCACGGCGAAGGCAGTTATTATTTAATAGCTTCTAATTCTACTAGTATTCTTATAGTCATAACCGTTATTTTAAGGTTAAATTATAGGTAAAATCCTCGTAATATACAACGTTTAATAGTCTAAAATTAAGGCCTCTTATTAGTCCGTTTAATTTCACGGTTATATTACCGTAATCTTTAATAAGTAGCGATAAACTATATATAACTATATAGTCTCTCTATATAACGGGGGTAAAATTAGAAAAGCGGGAAAAATCGTTAAAGATATAGATTATAGCGCCGGAATTAAGTATAGCAGAGGCTCGAAAAGGGTAGCTAATAGTAACGGCTTCTACTATAAAGCTAGCGGCGTAGGAGATACTACTCCGGGTAGGTCACGCCTCTTTAAGCTATACGGAGTCCCGACTTATATCCTTCTTTACCTTCTTTACGGCGCGTAGATCTTCTACTTCCCCGCGTATCGCGGGGTTATATTTAAGGATCCGTTAGACTATGATTTTAGTGTTTTCGTAGGGTATCTAACCGTCGAACGTTATTTCCGGAAATATATAGTAATAAGCGTTAATATCGTGATAAGGCGTAGCGTATACATGATAAGGCTCACCTTTCCGAAGGGTGGATTAATAACGTTTAGAAGAGAAGCGGTTAGCTAAAGTAGTAGAAGATATAGCTATAGATCTAGCGGTGGAGGGATTCTTAGCTTTATTCTTCCAACGGTCGCCCTTCTTACGAAGCTTAGCCGTGGTATCTAAGGTATCTTTACCCTTATCGGTTTTAGTATATAGTGCCGGGAATACTATAGCGCGGTGGCTTCTGCGTTTTCCTTAGTCTTTAAGTCTAGTCTTGATATATCGTTAACTAAGGGTATAAGGGTCCTCGGGGGAGATTAGATTACTTTCTTATCTAAAAGGCGTCCCTCGACTTTAGTCTAGCCATGCTTAGTTATTATTCGCATCCCTCTAAAGAAATCTACCACCTAGATATACGTTACGGGCTTCGAATTAACCTTTTTAAGGCGTTATAGTAGCCCCTGCTATCTCTATAACCACTCCTATAACTTCTTAAGGGTTATTAGCGCGCTACGAATATATTCGTTATACTCTTCATAGGTATTAACGCGGCGGGTAGTTATATAGTAAGTAGTACCGTGGCGGACGGCTTTAAACACCTCTTTAGGCATGGCGTTACGTAGTAGTAGCTTACGGTCTAGGTCGATAGTATTAGTCTACTAGGTTAAAATAATCCTAATACCCTTAACGTACTTAGCGTGGTTATTACTTTATATCTTCTAGCGTTATATCGCCGAATTATAGGCGCGCTGCCTAGTGGGTATTAGATCTAACTATTATAAGGGCGTAGCTTCTGCTTACAGGGTTACGGGCGAAGGCTAGAAGTTAGCGTAAGAGGGTAAAATAGGCTTTTAAGGGGTGGATATCGGATCGTTAGGGCGTAGGTATTCTTAGACTTCGCTATTAACGGCCGCAGCTTCATAGTGGCTACGCTAAAGCTCCTAATCGCGGTGGGTTTTATAGCTAACTGGTTTATATTCCGATATCTTAAAAGTTATAGATTAATACGCTATATCGGCGTAGCTATATCGCTTTTTAATCGGTAGTAGTAAGGGTAAAGGGTAGATTTTCCCTTAGTAAGTAAGACGCTTAATTATCGAATAAAGCGTAGTAGAAATCGTCATAAAATAGGTCAAAATTAATTAAGGCAATTTTTGTTTTTACTATTATAACGGTGTCGGGCCGTTAGGGAACCCTGCCACCGTACTTTATATAGTGCAGATTCTGTAAGCGTCTACCCGGATTGTAATCTTGGCAATCCGGCCCGTTACGTAACCGAAAAGACTATGGTCTGTTCGATATCCTCCGTCTCGGGGTTAACGATAATGGCTTTATATTTACGAATATTAGACGGCGTAGACTTAAGGAGTAGGTAGGTATTAGCCTCTTTATCGCTTAGCTTTAGATTAAGATAGTTATCCTAGTAGGAGGCAGATTTACCGCGTATAGCGCGTTCTTACGCTACCTAATCCCTCTAGTTAATAAGGGTAGTGGCCGTTTATTCGGTATTAGATATATTCGAAGATATCTTTGCCTATTTATCAGTTAATTCATTACTTAATTACTCTAGTTAAGTTAATAGTAGTTGTTTAAAGAGTGCTTTAAACGTGATTGCTTTTATAGTAGAATGGGGTAGCTTTATTAATATCTATTGTCTAGGCGTTATAAACCGGGCTTAAAACTATCGTATATTAAATAGTACTTATATAGTTAACTTAATACAGTAGAAATCGTATATATGTGTAGTATATTAAGTTATATCTATATAAGTCTCTTATGCCCCTAAATTAGGTAGTAAAGACTCTATTATAGGTACTATATTATTTGGATCCTATTCGGTCTTTTCCGGTATCATTCCTTATTATATCCTGATGCCCGAGGTCCCCGAGGTCCGAAGCCCTTAGTCAGGCATGGTCTGCTAGGCATGGTCTGTGCCCATGCGACACTATGCGACACGTCGTTGGAAAAGCATTGCATCATATCCATATGCCCCACTCATAGATACCACGAAAGAAGTCACTTTTATTTAGTTCGAGGTAGAAAGTCGTAGCGTCACGTGATACAAAACCCTAATCTTCTTCTGTTGTGCGTTTTCCTCCGTATCTGTGCTAATTACATTTTTTTTTTTCGTCTGTCAACCTGGGTGCTCTCTTCCATCCACAACCACCATCAGCTCCCGCCCGACCCAGCACGATCGTGAGCCGTCGGCAAGATGGGGTATGTTATGCCTTATTTCATGCGAGTGGAGCTGCCACCAGCGAGCTCTGCGACCAATTTGAGCATGCCAGGTCAAAAGGCTGACGATGGTTGCTTCCTAGTATCGACCTCGACAGACACCATGTGCGGAGCACTCACCGGAAGGCTCCGAAGAGCGAGAATGTTTACTTGAAGCTTCTCGTTAAGATGTTCCGCTTCCTAGCTCGTAAGTTCTCGGTCTGCATACTTGAGCGAGCTGCGCCGATCTTGCAACATGTCCTGCCTTTTGCAGGATGTCGGGTGAGAAGCAACAAGGGTGAATTATCTGACGAGGGTTTTGCTACTCCCCATCGCAGGTCGTACCGATGCCAATTTCCCGAAGGTTGTGCTCCGCCGACTTTTCCAATCCCGCACCAACCGCGCCCCCGTTTCTCTCTCGCGCATTGCTTCCAACATCAAGGAGGACGAGAAGAGGACCGTCGTTGTTGTGGGCACAATCACCGACGACAACCGCCTCATTGAGGTTCCGAAGGTCACTGTTGCCGCCCTGAAATTCACTGCTACTGCCCGGGCTCGCCTAACTGCTGCTGGTGGGGAAGCTATTACGCTCGATCAGCTTGTCATGCGCTCCCCCACCGGTAGCAATACCCTGCTGCTCCGCGGACCTAAAAATGCCCGCGAGGCCTTCAAGCATTTCGGCTTCGGGCCCCATACCAACAAGGTAATCGTATTCGGATAATTCATTTATGTAATAATGCTAACGTCTATTTAGAAACCTTATGTGGCATCCAAGGGTCGGAAATTTGAACGAGCTCGTGGCCGCAGACGCTCCAGGGGCTTCAAGGTGTAAAGACGGCATATGCATGTACTGGCCGATTCTTTGCATGTGCACGGAGTCTAGCACGCCTACCACACGAAATCATGATATCAAAATCTTGAGGGGAAGGGTAGCGACGGATTGGCGTGAATTGGTATCCCAAATATCCGAGGCCATAAAATACAAGGTTTCCTTCGTTATGGTTATATTTATTCTGCGGTCCCAGATGCCGACCTAACAATGTCGCTTTGATTAACATTTGATGGCTGTTTCCCACGCATCAGCAAAGGTTGGCATGAGAATTGTCTGCTCTGTCAGAAAGGCCCTCCGATGTTCCTACAGGCGGACGGATCCCAAGCGATGCAAAGCCACGAAATACGACTCTTTCGATTCCTGATATCGCTTAGCGACCTTCAAAAGACGATACCTGGCAAAGTCCGGGGCGCTGACCTTCCGCGAAGACTCGGGCTTCTCCCGATGGACCTTGGTAAAGAGCCTCTTGAGCAGTTTCTCGAATGCCCTGTCCTCAGGGCCTTGGTAGTACTTGCAGATGAAGTGGCCCCCATGTTTCAGTGTATCGCTCGCAAAGTGAAGCGCCGCGTGGCAAAGATCCTATTCTCAAACCTTGATGATTAGCACATTACGAAATAGCTGCAGTGTTTTCGGGGCGTAAACCAGGCTTGATCGGTTAGTGCAGACGAACCATGCTTCTTGCGTGGTCATGGAAAGCAATGCCGCTTGTGTTCATCATCCTATCGAGATGGGTCAACATAAGTGACCATGACCAAGCTTGTAAGCTTGTACCTATGGACTCGTGGAGCTGACATATCACTCAACACAACCTACACAAGGTCAGCATTGATTAAGGAAGACTTCCAAGTTCTTGTCGGGAGGGTCGTATGCCTACATTCACCAGCTGCAGACTGTTGGGGCCGTCGTGAGGAATCCGAGGTACTGGAGAATTGGTAAGGTTGGGACGCATTCCTGTTTGCTCCGTGCCCACGATACACCTCGTCGAGTACTCGAAACTTTGCGGGCACTTGCTAGGAGCTTCTTGGCCGGTTTCTGCAACGGTTTGATCTCCTTCATGGGCTGTGGCACGTCTCCTCTGCGGCGAGGAGACGAGAAAATCTTTAACCATCCTCTGTACCTCGGGTAGGAGAAAATTGCCTTGGATTGTTGTTACGCCTTTCGGTGGTTGGGCAGGGATGAGATCAATACCGATGACATTACCCGAAGGCCCAGTTCGCTCATAGGCAACCTGGGACCAGCTCCCCGGGGCGTAGCCCTATAGCCGATCTTAATGATAAATTCAATTTCTGCGTCTTTCTCAATGGAGACAGGGGAACATACAAGGTCAATGACGACTTGTCCCTTCTTGAAGACCCGGTACTTTCCATCAAGCTGGCATGACGTGAGAACCTCCATTCTGGGTGTTGTGTCAGGTAGGGAACGCGCAAACCTCGAGGAGCTTAAAAGCCGCGCGGCTCTTAAAACCATGGATCTTTGCGTCGCGGGCCAGATGATCGGCTCCCTGGCGCATCTTCCATCTTGTTTTCGATGACGATGGGCGGAACTGACCGAGCCATGGTGGACGAGTAACACATCTGACGAGTAGGGGTGAAGGTTGTGCAAGTCGTCTCGGAGTATATCCCATCATTCCATGACGATAGGCCATTGCATGCTGAAGGCTGAACCTACAGCTCTCGGGCGAAACCTTTTGATCTGTATAAGAAGTGCTGGGCTCAACAAGACAACTTTCGAAGCCGTTGCTATTATATATAGCTAACAAATACAGTTTAATTATTTTTTCAAAGTCTATAAGCCAAGCATAAAACACTTAGTAATTAGTATCTCTTTATAATAATTGTCAGCACACAAATAAGGTACGCAAAAGATATGTGTGTGCATTAAAGAAGAGTAAAAGATACTCTGCGGAAATATCTAACTATAAAGTAAAAGGAGGGGAAATTAATATGGATATATCGGTCGGAAGTACCCTATCCGTCTACAGAAATAGCGTAAGTAACACCCCGATAAGGTGGCTATAGGCATCTGACAATAATAAATAATAGTGTATTAGAATAATATAAGGTAATAAGCCCTAGTCAGGCAAATCCCTGGCTAGTTTTCTTCTTGTTTTTCTTTTTCTTTTTTTTTTCGCGCATATAGCCCTAAAGCTATAGCGCGGCGCCTTTTGCCCTATAGGCTCGAGGCTAGACTAAACTATAGTAAGGAGTGGAGTAGTAATAAATAAAGGAAATCCTCCGTAATAGTCTGCCTACTATACCGAAAAACAGGTAAAAAACCAAAACAGAGAACTAGACCGTAGGATCCGAGGTTTGCGCCCTATACCACTCCGCCGAGGCTATTTTAGTAGCTAAAAGATAGGTCTCTAAGGCCTGTATACCTCTTTTAGTACCGAATAATAGCGGTAGGGATAGCGGTAGGCCTGCTAGAGCTTCCCGCAGGGCTTTTCGTTCGTTTTTATAAAAAGGGTAAGAAAGGATGAGGTGGGCTATATCCTGTATAGGGGAGCCGGGATAGGAATACCAGTCGGTAGCGCTATTTCGCGCCCTCTTTTAGTGGGATTTTAGGTATCCGAAGCCGGTTTTTAACTAAATAAAAGCCGACTTTACCCACCTAGGGCCCTATATCGGTAGTAATAGTGGTTTTCGGGAAAAGCGGAGGTTATCTCGGACTAAGCGCCTGTAAAGGCGGCCTAAACGCACCGATTTACCCCTCTTCTCCGCCTCTTCCTCTTCGTTCTAAAAAGCCTTCTAGTCTCGAACTAAGGCCTCGTTAACCCGATGCTTTAAGCGACTAAGGGTAACTAAGCTAACAGATTTAGTAGCTTTTTTAGGGTCTAACGCCTATTTAGCTGCCTTATCCGCCAGTTCGTTCCCTTCTATCCCTATATATAACGGGCACTACTATGTAGAGATAGAAGTGGCCTGTTATTTTAGCTATAGGATAAGTATCTTAGCCTTTATAGCCTACTAAGAGGAGCGCTAAAGCTTCTAAATAGCCGCCTATAAATCGCTAAAAATATAGCACTCTAGGGGCCTAGACGACTGCTTTAGGGCAATCTAAAGGGCCTTAAGAATAGCGTATAATTCGGTGTTAGCGACCTTGGCAGAGTTCCCTAGGTTATAGCCTATAGCTCTATAGGGTCTACCGGTATTAGCTAACTGTACTATAGTAGCTATAGCCTATATAGGCCCTGTAGGAGGCCTTATAGGGTGGCCTACGGAGCCGTCGGTATAGAAAATAGAGGCCTACTCGCCTAAGGATTATTGTATATCCTTAAGGGCTTCGAGGTGGGCTGTTTTTAGGTCTTGGGAGCCGGAGTCGGTGTTTTTCGCGGTTATAGGCTATTCTTTTAAGGGAAAAAAGGGTCTAAGGTCTGCTATAGGTTCGGAGGCCTAAGGGGCCTCCTACCTAGCTACAGGGCCCTGTATTTCCCAGGACTACCCTACTAAAGCAGCCAATTCTAGGCCTAGCCTATAGAGCTGTGTGGTAGGCTATAGATCTTATAGGCGGGCGAGGTCTTCCCCTAGCTCCTCTAGAAGCTAGCGTCTTATAGGGTGGTTCGATAAGAACTTTAAAGACCTAAAGGCATAAAGCCTATTAGATCTAGTTAACCGAATCGACGCTAGGGACACTGCTACTTCTAGTTCCAGAGGCCGTAAGGGGGCCCCCCTAAAAGCCCCTAAAGCCCTGACTAGAGCGCCGTACTATAGGCGTTCTAGGCGATCGACTAGGTGCTTTTTGGGTGATTTAGGGTCCTATTATAGCTATAAGCTAAAGTTAGCTAGCAAGGCTATATAGGCTATATATAGCTGCCGTAGGGCCTTAAAAGAAAGGCCTCTCTACGAGCTAGCTAGCCTATAGAGTCTACTTAAGGCCCCTGTAGTGAATTTAGGCGTTTTTCGACGTGGGGTTTAAAAGATAGCTTAGGGTCAAACTAAACCCCTAGCCACCTAATAGCACCTAGCGTAGGTTTAACTAGGTGCCCCCCTATAATAACCGGGGCGTTTTCGACAGAGCGTCTTCGGTGGAAGTGAATAAGCTCTGTTTTATCCGGGTCGAAAAGAACGTGGTTATTATTAGCTGCTTCGAAAAGGGAGGCTACGGCTCTTTCTAGGATCTTAGAGTTTTTCCTAGCCGACGTAGACGCTATAGATAGCTGAAAATCGTCTATATAGAATAACTGAAGACCTTTAAAATCCGGCCCCGCTATAACCTTCCTAATAGAAATTAGGAATAGGATAGGGGAAACCGGGGAGCTTTAAAGGACCCCTATATTTAGGGGGGTGGGCTGCTACACCTAACCCTTAAAGGCTAGTTAGATACGCCTGTTTTCTGTGAAGGAGGCTACCTATTTAACTAGATTCGAGGGTAGTTAGAGCTCTTAAATGGTTCTTAGTAGCTAAGGGCGGGCGATATAGTCGAACGCTCCTTTAATATCTAAAAATAGCGTAGAAATTACAGCGTTTTGCTATGATGTACGCTATTGTTCGATATAGTGGAGGAGTAGAAGGGCCGTATTAATAGCGGATCGTTATTTTCTACCCCCTCTCTAACTAGAGTGTAGAAGGTCGTCGCGGGTATTAGCTAAAAAGCTTAGTCTAGCAGCTATAACCCTCTTAAGGACTTTACCTAAGCAGTTTGGAAGGGCTATAATCCTATAAGACTTAGGATTAGAATAGTCCTTGTTCCCCGGGTTTAGTAGAACGACCCCTAGGGCCTCTTTCTAGCAGGTAGGGTGGTGGCCTACTAAAAATAAAGCTAAGTAGGCCTTTAAGAGGGCCCGGGAATAGCCTTATAGGCCTATTAGATCGGCTATAAGCTTATCCTATTAGGCCCTAGGGCTTTCCCCTTAGCAGCTCTAAAGATAGCGCGTTATAGCTCGGCAGTCTATAGGCTAGGCCACTCCCACGGTCTTCTAAGGCCCTTACTACGTGATCTAGTCAGGCTCTAGGGGCCGTTAGAAGGGTTTAAGGGGCCTAGGTCCCCCGAAGGGCCTATAAATACAGGGGCTTCAGGGGCGTCGGTGGCGGCAGTAGAGGGGTCTAGGCCCCCTAAAGGGCCTGTAAATACAGGGGCTTTAGAGGCGTCGGTGGCGGGCGGAGGAAAAAGGGTCTAAAGAAGGGCGTTGCATTTTTCATCGAAGGCGTAGGCTTTCGACTTCGTAGGCGTTTGAATCGGTAAGACTTTAGCGTTTAGGCCGCTCTTTATATAGTTATAGACCTTAAAAATCTCAGGACCTTAAGCGTTAGCTAGGAAGGCCTCTTAGTGGTTCTTTTTTACTATTCTTACTGCCCTATAATAGGCGTTTCGAGCCTTTTTCTTGGTGGTTTCTAAAGCCGCTAGCCGGGTCGCCGAGGCTCCCTTTTTAGCTTTTCTAAAAACCCTAAAAGCCCTATTAGCTAATTTTCGTAGGGCTTTTAGGTCTGGGGTCCACCACGGTTTCGAACGCTCTACTACCCTTAGCTTAGGCATAGAGGCCTTAAGAGCCTAGGAGATAGTATCTGTTAGGTGGCGACCTATAGAGTCCTAATCCGAGGCGTTAATAGCGTGCTATAGCTACTAGTCGAGGCTAGGCTTTAGGCTTTTTAGAGTCCTAGTAAATAGACCCTAGTCCGCTAGCCTATAATTATAGGCCGGTGGAAGGGATCTATTTATAGGACTTTTAGAGCCTAGAATAAAGGCTGAAATCAGGATAGCGCGGTGTAAAGAGGGAGTATTTTCGATATATTCCCACTTATAAAAGCGGAGACGATTAAAGCCGGGCGTGTAAAATACTACGTCTATAACTGACTCTTAATGAAGATTAGACCTAACAAAGGTCCCCCCGTTTAGGTTAACTTCTTTAGGATCCACTAAACAGGTGGCCTTAAGGCTGTTTAACCAGTCTACTCAGGCCTGGGCCTTAATAGAAGCCTGATTCGTAGCAGCCCCGTTCTACTACTAGTGGTTCCTGTTAAAGTCCCCTATAATAAGGGTCGGCTTAGGGACCTAAAGGCCCTATAGCACGCGATCTTCGGTCTAAGGTCGGCTTCTAAAGCCTAACAAAGAAGGAAAAGAAGAAGATGAAGAAGAAGAAGAGGTCGAAGTGGTAGAGGGGGTAGGGCTATGAGGCCTTAAAAGCCTTTTACCTGTTATCTCGGGGTCCTATTCTATTTAATTATAGACGTTTAGGATATAGAAGGTCTATAGATAATAGACCTCTATAAGCTATACGTCTATATGATCTCGAAGGTCTTCGCGGTGTGAAAAATCGATACCCAAGCCCTTTCTTATATAAGTAAGGACCCTAGGTTTAATAGGAAGAAACTGGGTTTTTCGAGACGTAGGCGTGATAGTATAGAAGGCTAGGTGGTTACGAATATACTACCCTTCTGGTTTCGGGACGTAGGAGGGCTCCTGAATAAGGACTATATTAGCCGAAGCCCTTAAAGCCTATTCTAGGATAGCTTCTTGCGCTAGGCCCTGTTTATCGACGTTATACTGAATAAACCGGATTTGTCTCGAGCTAAAATACCCCTTATTTATTAAGGTTTAATAGCTCGAAAGACCTCGTAGTTTTGACTATAAGGGGGGTATACCCCCTTATAGTTATAGCACTTATAGGTCTTACATTCATACTCGCCGTATTCCTCGTATTCGTTATAGTAATACTCTTCGTCGCCGTGGCCCTCCTTAGTATAGACAGAGCAGGTAGTAAGGCTCTTATAGGTCCCTCGGGTATACCCGAATTTCTAGCAGTTAGAGCACTAGGTTCTAGGGGATATAGGCCTATATTTATAGACCTTTAGCCCTGGCCGGCTATATAGAGTATAAGGAACTAAGTGGCACGGTGGATTAGCACTATATATAATCGGGGATACGCTCGGATCGCCGAGTACTCGGCGAGACTAAATTACCACGTTAGCGTAGAGGGGGTAAAGTCCCCTTTTCCTCCTTAAGTTAAAGTCTTAATAATATATAACTATTAAGTCCGAATAGTATTATCTGTTACGGTGTATCTTTTCCCTAGTATTATACCCTAT